TCGATCGTTATGTTATGATAATTTTTGACAAAGTTGCTCTATCTTGAATTTTTAGAAATTATCGATATATTAACGCAGTGCCCGGTCAATTAGTTTGGTGACTGTATATACCTATATATCTGTGATAGTTGTTAATAAAAAATATATTATTATAAGAATATCTTTAATAATAATGCATCTTCCGATTCATTTTTCATTTATAAGAAAATATTTCTTTATAAATGTTTTAAGTTTAATAAATATTAATGTACAAATTATATCCAGAAAATTTAATTGTGATCTTATCATGATACATGAAATGCTTAAAAATCTAAACAAAAATAATATATGCACCATAATGCTAAATTAAAATAACATTTTGGAAAAATATGAGATAAACATGATTACGTACTTCATGACCGTCAGCATCATGCTCTCTTGTTGAAGCAAAAGGATCCTTTTGTTCGTGATCTAGATACTTTTCCAAATTGAAGAAAGTATCAAAAAAGATGGACGTCATTTTACACTTTTTCAAATCATTCAATGATATCTTGCCTGGTATCACTGGACGAATCATATCTAACATCTGAAACATATTATGTTTTTTGAATGTTTTACACATTGTTATTGCGTTTTATTCAATTTAAACTCTGCAATATTATTTTTAAAGCTCAAATTTAAAAATATAAATTTATGGAAAATTTCCAAAAACTAATAATAAACAAATTCATATTATTCTGGTATTACCTGACAAAGACAATCTTCGAAAGGCAGTGTTTCCAGACCAATCGCTTCCATTCGACGTAATTGCTCTTCATAGAAGTATTCCAGTTCGTACATCGACAAATATCCATCACCATCGAGATCCATACATCTATCAAAGAAAATTATAATATCTGACATTAATAACAAAGTAATACCAATGCGAGCCGACACTGGTGTGTATAATAATTTTATTGTTACAATATCCAACCACACAAATGCGCGCCGCACTTTTTGTTGGTTTTAAAACCCAGAAAAATTATAATATATATTGTTATAAAAGACAAATGGTACAATTAAGTTTTATTGCCTCATATAAAGTGACACAAAATAACTACCTAAACCAATATTCAATGGCTGTTGGATGATTCTTGTCTTCCTCGCTAAGAAGAAACCATACAAATTCCGTGTAACTCATCTTATCTTCTTGTTGCGCATTGTCACTATTTTGTACTGTACTACTTCTCGTCACAGCACCGCTAAATATCCTTTCGATCATTCGAGTAGATAACGCTGAAGATAATTAAACAAATTGACAAAAAATACGATAGATCAGAGCACAATATACAAATTTATACATTTAATGTGAAACATGTTCTCTCACCATGATCATTGTGTCTCATTAGATCTATTTTGTCTATGAAAAGATCATGATCGCGATCCAACTCCCAAAATTTACAATATATCACATAAAAATGTTCATAACTGAAGTATGCTGTAACTTGATTAATATCCTCTTCGTGTTCAAGCATAGCGATCACTGCCAATAGATTACTTCTCCTTAATTCCGCAATTGAAATTTTACCACTCCAACTTCGATTCACGCAATAAAATATCCTAGCAATTACCTATAATTATTTTTATAAAATGATTAGTTTTATGGCTTATATATGCAATTGCAAAAAATTTCATTATTATTTAGAGCTATTTCCGCTTCAAAAATAAAAATATAAAAAAATTATTTGAATTTGTACGTTTAAAAAAATATGTGAAATAATTTCACAACTAGATTTGGCTATATTATAATTTAGAATTATAGCATACGAAAAAACGTAAGCAATAAAATTAAGCAGTACGCGAATCGATCAATTATAGAGTCACGAATTTTTAAATTACGATTATAGTCTTATGCTTTCGATCATTTTCGACTACGATTGGCTGATTCGCTTAAGTTTTTTCGTGTGGGAACCCTTATCCTCAGAGACGGATTGAAAAGAATAATAGCGTTTTCGATTTGTTGACTCGATACGACTCCGAGTCGATGGTCTGTTCTTTTTAGCTATAAAAGAATAGTTAAATAGTGTAAGAAACGCTAAAAAGAACAGACTATTTTGACTCGAAGTCGGATTAAGTCAACAAATCGAAAACGCTATAATTCTAGATGGGCAATTCAACAAAAACTTTGCAAAGCCCTCTATTGGATATTTCTCTCATGCATGATAATTATCAAGATAACAGCAATTTAATCTTGATAGAAATCAATACGATCAATGGAATAAAAAATGTTTAATAAATGAGAATTAAAATATATAGTTATTTCGTACAAACCGTATGTACATATCGGGAATGAAATTCCGTAGCTTCTTTTAAAAATGTCAATCCTGGATGCGTTTCTACTACATCTTGTATGAGTGGAATCAAATCCTCCGGGAGTATATTGTTTCGAAGTCCGCGAGTGACAATATTGATGAATTTACTAGCTGCATCGTGATGAGCAGTTGTTAATCTGTAAGGATAAATATGAAATTTGTTTATTATCTCATATTATTTCTATTTCAATATATTATTACATTTTCAGTATAAATACGTTACATATCAAAAATAGATTAGCATAAAAAAATTTACTTGTTTATTCATTTAGAATGTGTAAAGTCAATGTAGTAAAATATTTTTTATATAACGTTTTTTTTTAATATTTTTGATAATAAAATTATGTAATTATATTTTATTAAAATCCTCGAGAACTTTATTGGAAACGGAATCGTAATTTCGAAATTTGTGTTACAACTTATTTTCTGTAAAATAATAATAAATAAAAATGACATGTTTTTAACTTTTTTTTGTTTACAACTGTAAATATAGAAGTAATTTTTATAAAATAACTGACAAAATTATAATTAAAATGTCAAGATATAAAACTATTCATATATCAAGTAATATAACAATTATATATAGTACAGAGAAAATCACATAGTTTTATACATAGAATTTATAGTGCAAACAACTATTTTATAAATAAAGATGTTAAAATCCTAATAAACAAATTATTCGCAATGTCAGCAAATTGACAGCAAATTTAGAAATTGCTAATAAATTGGTATTAACTGCATCATTAGTATTTTGATTGCCATATCACTCTTTTTTTCCTCTTGCTGTCATGTCCTGATCTTTTGAGAAAGGCTTCAGAATGCAAAGCATAATTTGAAGAATAAGCTTCTTATTAGGATTTCTTCTTCAACGGAATCCGCCTAGAATATTCCGTTCCTTACTTCAGCTCGGATATATGGGTGTGTTAGATTCAAATGCACAGTTCCCAAGTAGCAAACTGATGTCGAAAGACGACAGAGATAATATGTGTGGTCATTTCTTGGTCTATTACATCGACAACTAATAATGAATGTTTATAAGACGTCATTTTTTAGACCAATTAAAGACATTTTGAAGAAGTCTTGAAGTTGTCCAAATAAAATCTTTTTTTATAACTTATAACATTTTATTTTACTATTTAAATTAAATTATTAAAATATCCACATAAAGAAAAAATATTACGAATTAATAAGAAATAAAGAGCTGTAAGTAAAAGCACGATATTTAACCTTTAAATGGTACAAGAGTGCGAATTCGCACCGCGAAAATTTTCGAATTGCTGGCATTTGCACAGAGACATTTGTCGCGGATTATTCCCATTACATTAAATATGCCCGGTATCTCAGGTGACAGA